TTGACGCGAGCTCCCACTGCAAACATCCCACGAAAACTGGACCGTCAAAATCCAGGACGCGCTCGTCAAAAAACGTCGGCAAACCCGAGTTCTGGCTTACCCGAGTCTTACGTTCCCCCGACTTTAGCAACCCCCGACCTATGTTCATCAGAATCCCCGTTTATCGGCGGCGAGCGAGGAGGGGGGAAGCGAACAGGAGAAGGCCTTCCCAAAAAGCGGCGGGGCTTCTCAGAAGCCCTCCGGCCTTCTGAGGAGTCTTCTGTGTCTTCGGGGAAGGCTCAGACAACTTCTCAGAAGGCCAGGGGACCTCCGAGCCTTCTGAGAAAGCCCGCCCCCTCTCGGACGCCTGGTGCTTTTTCGGTCCGAACTCGGCTCTCTAATGCCCGTTCGGGGCGATCCGGACACCCTCGGAACGCCCTCGGCGAGGCGCAGCTGCCGGAGCGCACCCCGAGACGGGAAATCGCCGAGCACTGGCGACGACGCCCGATAACCTCGAGCCCGAAGCTCCAGAAGCTTCCCCTGCTCACTCCCCCCCAAACGTGGTTGGCTGCCGAGTTTAGAATAAGAGCAAGCGCCACATACATAAATTTCTTGGATCCGTGCTGGACACCCCTTCCTGGCGCGCGTAGCGCGCCAAGGGCGGCGCCAGAGGCGCCGCCGGGAGGGGTCCAGCGCGAGCCTAGACATCCGCGCGAAGTTTGTGTTTATGACGCTTTCTCGTCATCGATCACAACTCACTGACAGCCAACTGACAGCCCACTGACAAGCCACTGCTAGGCAACTGCGGGCCTCTGACACCACCGCCGGGCCACGGATGGGGTACCGTAGCACCTCCGTGTACTCCATGGCCCGAGAATTAGAAGTCCAAACATCCACTCCCATAACAACCACTCCGACACGCGAAGTCGTCCAGTAAACGGGCCCAAAGAAGGAATCGAACAAGGCAGGGCTGTTTAGTAAACGCCCAAGGCCGTTTAGTGAAAACGAACTGTCTGGTCCGGGTGGTTTTTTCCTCCCTTGAAGAATACTATGGCCCATGTAGATGGCGCTTCTCTCGCCATCGCTCGGACGTCCATTCCCCGTGCCTTTTTCGATTCCGTGCGTGCATTTTTTCCGCGAAATCGCGGCGAAAATGCACACGGTCCTCGCCGAGAAAAAATGCACACGTCCGAGCGGCGCCAAGTTCTCGGGAGCGGCCAAGAAGGGGGTGTCCAAGAGGGGGGGGTGCAAATCATGACCGGCGGCATGTGCGCGGCCCAGCGGGGGGGCCAGGGAAGTCATGAAACAAGAAGAGGCGCCATGACATCTGGGGAGATATCATGGCCCCCGCCATGAGATCCCCCCCCCCTAGTCATCACCCCCCTCTTTGCCGCCCCCGAAGATCTTCTCCTTCGAGAGCTCAGGCGGCCCGGAGCGCCAGGGGCGGCCGCTGCGTCGGCGGCGGCGGCGGCGCCGCCGCCGCCGTCTGCGCGGGCCGCGGCGGGGCGCGGGGCGCTGAGGGCCGCTGGGCAGCGCGCGGAGGGGGGGGCCCAGATCTGGGCACGGCCACTTGGGTCGAGTCGGGCGTGTCCCCCTACAAGGAGATTTTGGGCGAAACATAAGAATTATCCTGGCGAAGGACCCAACCATATGCAGTTGTGGGTACCGCAATTGTGAAAACCTTCTTCGGTGAAACTCCCTATGGGGCCACGAAGCGCTGCACTGGGTGGGGGGGGGGGAGCGCTGTTCTGGGTGAGTGGTGTGTCAAGTAAGGTTTCCGGGGCGCACGCGGACGGTCCCATTGGGGGCTTCGGTGGAGCTCCCTATGGGGCCACGAAGCGCTGTACTGGGTAAGTGAAAATGCCAAAGTGGGCTTCCGGGACGCATGCGGACGGTCCCACTGGAGGCTTCGGTGGAACCCCCTATGGGGCCACGAAACGCTGTAGCCGGTGTGTGAAAATGCCAATTCGGGCTTCCGGAGCTCATGCGGACGGTCCCACTGGGGCCTTCGGTGGAGCTCCCTGTGGGGCCACGAAGCGCTGCACTGGGTGGGTGAAAATACCACATTGGGTGTGTGTGGGACGCATGCTGACGGTGGCCCTGGGGCCTTCGGTGGAGCTCCCTGTGGGGCCACGAAACGCTGTAATGGGTCGGGGAAAATGCCAACTTGGGTGTTTCAGGACGCACTCGGACGGTCCCACTGGGGGCTTCGGTGGAGCTCCCTATGGGGCCACGAAGCGCTGTACTGAGTGGGGGGGACGCATGTGGACGGTAGCACTGTGACCTTCGGCGGGGCTCCCCACGAAGCGCTGTACTGAGTGGGGGGGACGCATGTGGACGGTGGCACTGGGGCCTCCGGTGGAGCTCCCCCATGGGGCCACGAAACGGTGCACTGAGTGGGGGGGACGCATGTGGACGGTAGCACTGTGACCTTCGGTGGGGCTCCCTATGGGGCAACGAAGCGCTGTACTGAGTGGGGGGGACGCATGTGGACGGTGGCACTGGGGCCTCCGGTGGAGCTCCCCCATGGGGCCACGAAACGCTGTACTGATTGTGGGGGACGCATGTGGACGGTGGCACTGGGGCCTTCGGTGGAGCTCCCTATGGGGCCACGAAACTGTACTGAGGGGGTGGACGCATGTGGACGATGGCACTCGGGCCTTCGGTGGAGCTCCCTATGGGGCCGCGCTGTACTGAGTGGGGGGGCGCATGTGGACGGTGGCACTGGGGCCTCCGGTGGAGCTCCCCATGGGGCCACGAAACGCTGTACTGATTGTGGGGGACGCATGTGGACGGTGGCACTGGGGCCTTCGGTGGAGCTCCCTGTGGGGCCACGGAACGCTGTACTGAGTGGGGGGGACGCATGTGGACGGTGGCACTGGGGCCTTCGGTGGAGCTCCCTATGGGGCCACGAAACGCTGTACTCAGTGTGGTGGACGCATGTGAACGGTGGCACTGGGGCCTTCGGTGGAGCTCCCGATGGGGCCACGAAACGCTGTACTCAGTGGGGGTGGGCGCATGTGGACGGTGGCACTGGGGCCTTCGGTGGAGCTCACTGTGGGGCCACGAAGCGCTGTACTGGTTGGGGACGCATGTGGACGGTGGCACTGGGGCCTTCGGTGGAGCTCCCTATGGGGCCACGAAGCGCTGTACTGAGTGGGGGGGACGCATTCGGACGGTCCCACTGGGGCCTTCGGTGGAGCTCCCTGTGGGGCCACGAAACGCTGTACTGAGTGGGGGGGACGCATGTGGACGGTGGCACTGGGGCCTTCGGTGGAGCTCCCTGTGGGGCCACGAAGCGCTGTACTGAGTGGGGGGGACGCATGTGGACTGTGGCACTGGGGCATTCGGTGGAGCTCCCAATGGGGCTACGAAGCGCAGTACTGGGTGGGTGAGACGCATGGAGGAGGGGGAGGAGGGAGGATGGGGAGGAGGAGAGGTGAGGAGGAGGATGAGGATGAGGATGAGGAGGAGGAGGAGGAGAACGCGGGGACCGTCTCTTCAAAACGAGGACCCAACAACACAGGTTGGTTGGGAAATACTACAAACATACATCAACAATTGTCAAAACATCGTCCCCCGACTATTTTATATTAGTTTTGATTTTCCCTCCTGTAGAGGGACAGGCCCGACTTAAGCCCAGAGGTCTGGGCGCGGCCACTTGGGCGACGAAAGGAAAAACTGGTCTTACAGTGGGGGCTCGACCACAAGAAACCTTCCACAAGCAACCCAGCCCTGAGACCCCAGGGCGTCCATCGGCTTCTGGTGTGACGACCAGGTGAGCGTTTTCTTATCCGGCGTTTCAGCATGGGGCGGAAGGGGGGGGGCTCTGGCTCCGAACCTCTGCTTAGCGCGCCTGTCTGCAACACTGCGTCCTATGGGGGAGGGACTCCAACTGCTCGAAGCAGGCGCCAAAAACAACCGAGATCTACTCCATGCGGAAGGGGACGAGGGCCCGCGCCGATCGGCAAAACAATGAATCAGAAAACGATCGCTAGAGGAAGAAACAATGGCACAACCATAAACTTTAAGAGGTCCGCGCGGATCTCTTGGACCTGGGCTGGAGCCCCCTCCCTGGCGCGTGGAGCGCGCCAGGGGCAGAGGCGCCGCCAGTGGGCCCCAGCGCGGATCCAAGAAATCCGCGCGGAGCGCCAACAGTTTATGTTTAGGGCGTTTCTTCTTCGACTTTTGCGAGATGACGTAGCGACGTTACGCGGCGGCTTACGCGGGCCGCCGGCGCGGAAACGAGGGCGCTGACGCGCGGCCTTACGCGGGCAGCTTATGCGCCAATGTCGGCGCCGACGACCCCGTCGTCTTGCGATGCTACTTGTTCCTGACAACGCTCCTTTGGTGGGTTCTTCAATCGTGCTACGCCGGGGGCACAGGACAAGGAACCCTTAGATAAAGATCCCGGGGCCTGGGGAGCGGTGGGTGGTACTCCAAACCCGGATCGTCCCTGCGGTGAGGGCCTGATGGATAATGACCCCGTCGACGATAAGGAATCCATGGTCTAAAAACCTGGTGAGCACCGATGGAAACTCGGCCAAGAGCATCACCGCCACCCTTTTCCGTAAGGAACCCTCCAGGGCTTGAAGCCTCCAGAGCACACTCCTTAACCAAAGCGCCCCCACCGCAGCAGCGCTTCGCCGGTGGGCTCTACCGGTCGTGCCGGCAGAACTTGCCATCGCTCGGACGTCCATTCCCACTTGCAGCTATCGGTCTCATGCGTGTTCTTGTGGCTCGATGGCCCAGGCTGTTCCTCGAAGGCCCTCGCCGAGAAAAAAAGGGCACACGGCCGAGCGATGCCAAGCACAAGGGGGGGGGGGGGGCGTGCCCGCCCGAACCGGGCAGCCGCCTCGGCCCGAGACGGGCCCCAAACGTGTCCTCCTCCTCCTCCCCCTCCTCCTCCTCCTCCTCCTCCTCCTCCTCCTCCTCCCCCTCCTCCTCCTCCTCCTCCTCCTCCTCCTCTTCTTCTTCTTCCCCGAGGGTAGCGCGCGCACGTCCGTGCACGCACCGCTGAACTAGGGGCTCAGGGCCACCACAGAGGTGCGCACCTTAGCCCCCTTCACATGAGGGACATATCCCCCCTCCATGGCCCTTTTGGCCCGAGCCCCGTGGACCCCTGGCTTAGTGCAGGGTCGGGCCAACGATTTGCGCTGCACCGAAGTGGCAGCGCCGCAGACCTGGCACCCAACCACCGCAAAGTGGTGGCGGTCGAGCGCCCGATCAGTGACAAAACACACAAGCTTGTGGCCGTTAAGTCCGTCGGCGATGATCCGACGATTGGCCTCGACGGCCCGCGACACAACGGCACCAAGGCACTCCGCCTTCGAGGGTGACGGAACACGGCACCGCACGCACCACCTAGCCCCCTGAGGGCCGACCAGCTCGTGCCCAAGCTTGGGAAAGACCAGCTGCAGCACAGGCGCCTTGTTTGGCCTGGCGCCAGGCCTCAACAAAACCGTATCTCGTGAGTCCACAGAGGCCCCAGCCCGCGCGATGAAATGAGCAACGTCCTCGACAAGAACCTGCGCGAGCTGGAACCTCTCGCGATCAGAGGCCGCCAGCCTATCTTGGCTGGCCGCAAACTTCGCCCAAACTTCAGCCGAAACATTTCCGAACCGATCGCGGCGCGAAATCCGTCCGCGCAACGAATCAGCTTCGGAGAGATGGGCGCGAACCCTCCGAACCTGGAGCCCTTGGGGCCCAATCCTACCAAAGTCGTCCAGGGCGGCCCAGAAAACGCGCCAGAGTTCGGCCCAGGCCGCAGCATAGGTCGTAGTCCCTTGATGAGCGCGCTCTATGCCGTCAGTTACAAACTTCGAATCAGTGACCGCGCATATGGGCGGCACCGAGATACGCAGCAGCTTCGCAAACGCGAAGAGATCTGCGCCATCGATGTCACGATAGGCAAATGGCAGCCTGCCGTGTACCACGTCGCTGATTCCCAGCGGATCGGCATCATGCAGCACCACGATCGCCCACCCCGCCGAACTCACCCCGTCCCACCCACCATCGAAAAGCGAGCCATCCAGGAAAGCTTCGCGGGCACATAAGACGCCGCCTCCAACGTGCATCTGCCACGTCTCGCAATCATCGTCGGGGACTCTAAATGAGTCGGGCACGGAGGGCGATGGCCACAGCCCGCGCTCTAGCAAACACTGTACCTGCGGGCAAGGCAGCCTCGCAAATAGCATCTGAAACCTGTCGGGCATGGGGGGGGCGCTCGCCTTCCGCGAGCTCCCCCTGACATTCGCAGTGGCGGTGGGCCAGGGACCCGATCCCAAGGCAAAGAAGGCGCCCAGACGAAGCCACGAAACCAGCTTCACGCTTCCTCGCCATCGGCCACTGCCCATTAATCAAAACACTCCTAAGGTAATCACGCTCTTGCAAGGCCAAGCTGCCTAGGTCTCTGCACTGGTGACTCTGGGGCCGCGAACCTTTCAGAAGCCGAAGAAGGGGTGCCATCGCAGCACCTTTGTCCAGATGCTCGCACCCTTCAGCACCAGCAACTTTGGCCCACTGCCAGGCCTCAAAACCGCGGACCAGGAGTTTCCTGAGGTACCATGCCGAAACGTCCCGAATGTTCACAGAGGCGCCATCGTGCGCGATCCAGGTGAGCACGTCATGGTCGGAGAACTTCCAGGAGATCCGATCGAAGGGGCAACTTTACGGCCCCGAAGGGCCCCTGGACCTGGGGCCACGTCTGAACCTTCTTGGCCTCCAGGAGCCCGTCCGACACGACCTTCACGGGGATCCAAGATTCCCACATCGCACGCGCAAGCGCAAGGACAGGAAGCAGCGTGGTACGAAAAATCGGGTCGAGCTCCTTGCCCGACATGAGCGCCATCGTCCTGGACTTCCCTGCGCCGCGCCTCTCGATCGCAGAGAACATGCGACTTCGAATGGGATCCAACTCCGTTGCTGAGGTGCCAGTCACCGAGGCCCCATAGGTTACTCCAGCCTCCATGCCTGCACGCGCCACGAGCTGGGCCGCCGCTCTCTTGCGGGGGCCACGACAACACTTCCGAAGTCGGTGTGTTTTTGACCGCGCCGGACGAAGTCGCTCGTGTCGGACCCGCCGAATCACGCGACGCCCAAAAGTAAAATCGACTCCGAGGATTCTTTCATGTCGGGACGCCAGGGCCCCGATACGACCAAGCTGCCGAGCAATATCAGAACGCACCTCACTACTACTTGACATCACCCGCGTCTTGTCACCATGTAACTGTACTTGGCACAAATCAAGCTCACGTTGCAAAGCCTTGGACGCCTGATCTGTTTCACGCGTGACAGCCTTGCACGATCCAACCCTGTGCAGAATAATGTCGTCGACCACCGCAAACGGAGCCACCGACCGTCCTAAGGGCCATGCTCGATCGAGAGGTTGGAGCAGGGCAAGCTTGAGGAACGTGGTGGCGCATCCGTCACCAGGCAGGATGGTCTGATCAACCTGCAGCTCGTCCGAGACCGCGGTGCCGAGGGTGAGGAACCTCGGTGCTCTGTACACAAGAATCTGGAGCCGCAGCTGCCAGAGAGGAAAGCCTGTTCTCAACGCCGCCTCCAGGAGCCAATGGTGCTGGTGTTCAAACGCTTTCAGGGGGTCCATCATTACCTGGGCCGACGTGCACAGACCCGCCTGGGCCCCTTTGCCTTTCGCAGTGGTCCATTCGGACCAAGCCGACTGCTGCCAAACAGCTCGCTCACACGATTTTCCAGGGGCAGCCCAGCAATAATGCCGAGAGTTCTTCGCCTCCCACTCTCTAGCAATGGGCATTCTCAATCTGGCTTGGACCCTGGCGACGACGTGGAGCAGCGCGATGGGGCGGACCCCGCCCAATCGCTTGGCCAAACACGCAATCTTCGGAATTCGCGACGGCCGCTCGGCCGCGGCCTCGATGGCCATGATCAGGTCGATCAGACACTCGACCGCGGAGTCGCACAGCTCGCGCAGCTGCCTTGGCCTGATGGCACAGAACCCCATTCCAGACATTGGCTTGAAGGACCTCCGGACCCTGCGCATGAAGTCGAGGGTCGGCCGCGGGGGCCCCTCCCCGAGATCCCCTGGCCAGCTGAGTATGGGGTGCTTCTCCCCCAACTTCCACCAGCGACTCCAAGTTTTCTGCAACGTATCGACCGCTTGCTGCTTATTGAGGGGCTTGGTGGGGTCCTCGGGGTCCATGGAGCTACTCTGCCAGCCTTGGGGGTCCTTAGACAGCGCGTGGAGCCCACCAGCACCTCCCGCAGACTGCTCCGAGACCCACCTCCTGAATTTAGCAGCGCGCCGTTGCAGATCACGTCGGGCCACGCGCGAGGCCCCCCTCCTGATCTCCTGACTCATGACGTGACCACATTCGGGCCCAGGTCCCAGACGGGGAGGAAGGTGACCAGGGCCCACCAGAGGTTGCAAATGGAAGGACCACCCAGTCGAACACACCCAGGAACATCCCGAGCAAATTTGCCTACTGCCCGAAGCGCATTGACCCGCGTGATAGGTTGCGCCACCTGGGCGGCAAACGTCATCGAGGCACCCAGCTTGCGCAACCAGATGGCATCGGGGGACACCTTCGGGAACTTCGGCGGCAGGGGGGGCTGAGAACGAACCCACCTGGGACGAGGGACCTGCGCTCTGCCTAGATGCTTCGAGCGGTCGTTCGACACCTGGTAGACATCACACCACTCCTGCTCCGCGGCGCCGATGAACATCCCCCAGCCCTTGGATAAGTCCCCCTCTCCTCCTGATCCCGTGGGCATACTCATACGAATCTGCTCCCACATCTCGTTGAAATCGGCCGATGCACATCCTGACGGGCGAACGACAGGGAAGGGCCGTGGCACGGGAATGACGCGCATCCACGGCTGGCACAAACCCGACTTCAACTCCAAGGATACAGCTGCATGGGGACTCATTGGGATCGACGGCTCCGTCTGCACCTGGGTCGGCATTAGGTGGCTGGAGACTAGAAAGCAATCAATTACACGACACGCTGGTGCACACGTGCCCACCTGCGGGGCCCACACCGAGCACGGCAGAAACTCGAAGATACCTGCTGCATTTAACTCCTGCGGGGTGGCATTGAAGTCACCTCCGATGATGAAGGGCTTGCCTATGCCTCTCACGCGCTCGGCGATGTCCAGCAGGAGGCTCACATTGTCAGGTGACATACCCTGGCCCGCATGCAAATAGACACTCACCACAACAATGCCTTGCTTCGCAAACCCAGAGTGGCGTGAAAATGATGCCCTTCCTGGTGCGATCATGGCCGATCTACCATCTTCGACGAACCCCAGGCCATGTCGCGCAGGTGCAAGCGTAAGCAGCCCGCCTGATCCAGGTAGCCCAATGCTCACACCCGACAGCAGGAAAAGCGAAAGCATGCCATCCAGCTTTGACGAGCTTGCCGACTGCGTCGTCGCCGTGGCGCTGCCCCAGGTGGGTTTCTTGCACGAAAATCAGATCGGCCTGTCTAACCAGATCCATTTCCAACAAAGGTACGAAACTGGAGTAGGCGTTCACGTTCACTGTCAAAACCTTTCACTTGCACACGCGCTGGAAGACGTCCACCGACACTGGGCCTGATGTTCCCGAAGGAGGCTGAGCATCAGTCGACGACCTCCCCTGGGAGGCGCGGGGGCTGGCCGTCGCTCACCCCTCCCCCGCCTGGCCGCTGCAACCTGGCGGTTTGAAACCTTCACGAATGGGGAATCCGTGTACATCGTCACCTGAGCCTGGGGCAATGTCAGCAGGCGGCTGCCCCCAACGCCCTGACCCAGAGAGACGCGGTCCAGCGGCAGGAGCGGCGGCGCCTCCCGACTGTCCTGACTCGGCAACGTTACTGCCCAGAGGGCCGCCGCCTTGTCGGTCCAGGGGCTGTGCCTCTCCTGCAGACGACCCGATCCAAGGGCTCGACGCCGATGACCCAGTCGGCGCTGAAGAACTTCTCCTCCTCCTCCTCCTCCTCCTCCTCCTCCTCCTCCTCCTCCTCCTCCTCCTCCCACTCGCCGCACGGGTCCCACAGGTCCTCACGGCGGGTTCGTGCCGTGACGACCCTGGCGTGAGGATTCTGACACCGCGGGGATCGTTCGACCCTGAACGATCGGCGGCTTCTCGATCGCCACATCGTTCTTCCATGTAGACCGATTCTAGGCCACTGGCGGCGTTCAACCTTGAACGCTCGCGGCGGGGTCGCCGCTGGTCGACACGACGCGAACCAACCGTACAGGTCTCACGGGTCCCACAAACCACACGCGTCCCACAAGCCCCTTGCTGCTATCAGGGTGCTTTCTTGGGCAATGGGCGCCGGGTGATCTCGCCCGGCTCCGTCCGGGCCCCGCAGGGCCCTCACGGGACAATCCAGCTCGAAAAGTATGCGATGGGAAGTTGGGGTCGAGGGCTCTGTTTTTTTGGCGCAGTGGTGGCGTGGGGCGGGGTCTTGAGAGAGTGGACGGCGCCCACCATGAACCTGCCCCGATCTTTTCGGAGCCCATCCTGGGCTCAAGGCTGGTGTGTACGCCCTCCGAGCTGGGCCAGAAAGGCATGTACAGGAGGAGCTCGACCGCAAGAAACCCTCCGCAAGAAACCCAACCCTGGGACCCCAGGACGTCCACTAACTTCTTGGTGTGGGAGCGCCACGCTCTCCATGGCGAGGCCATCGCAACCCAGGAAACCCAGGGCACCCTGGAGGCGAGCAGGGTGTCTCTTGGTGTGGGACTCCCCGCTGTGCACCAGGATGGGCCTGGCCAGGCTCGGTGCGAGCGCACCGCTCGCACCCTCCGATCCAAAAGGCCTGGGCCCTCCTCGGGCAACGCCGCCCCCCCATCACGCCGCAGCCCTTCCGCGCGCCGCCGAGGGGCCGCGCGTCGCCACCACCCGGACGAAGCCGTCCAGCGACGCGGCCGCCAGGAGACCCCCGGCGAGGTCCACGCTGGGGATGTGTCGGGGGCGGCCAAGGAGGGGGGCGTCCAAGAGGGGGGGGCGCAACTCATGGCCGGCGGCACGTGCGCGGCCCAAGGGGGGGACCAGGGACGGCATAAAATCAGAAGCGGCGCCATGAAGACTGGGGAAATATCATGTTCCACGCCATGATACCCCCCCCCCTAGTCGTCACCCCCCTCTTTGCCGCCCCCGCATGTTGTTGGCGCACGAGATCAGCGAGTGCAGGGGCGGATTCCCTGCTCGCCCGTCCGAGGCCAGCCACGCCGTCCACGCGTCCCGGCCGGCGGCGTGGGCACCCGCTGGAGGCGGCCGCGGGGGCCCCGGGTGGATGCGCAGGCCCACAGCACATGTGTCAAGACTTATGCTGCTCCCATCGTGCTTGAGGACCACATCCCATATATAAGTTCGAGCACCCAGAAGAATATCGAAACAGTGTCGAGAAAGCATCGCCTCCCAGGGCCCGACACGTGAAACCCCTGCAGTTCCGGTCCTTCCTTGGCGCTCGCTCAAGGCTAAACTGGGTTGGAACACCATAAGTCAAGACGGGGGGATGAGGGCATTGAACACATGAATAAAATTAAAAATCGCCAGGCCTCTCCGGGGATGGACGCAGACCGATTTCTCGAGCCGCGTCCCGCCATGGCGACGAGAGGGGCTCAGCCTCCCTTCCTGCTGCCGGCGGGGTCCAGGTCCGGCATTCCTACAGGCCTGCCACGAGATGTTTTCAGAACCCCATGGTGTTCTACAGGGCAGTTATTTATACATAGAATTTCAAAAACAAGGACATAGGAATTTTAATACATGACTAATTTATGATAACTTTATGCATGAGCTCATCGTTGCTTTAATTATTCAACCCTTTATTATATATATATATATATGGTCCGCACGCGGAGCATGTATGAAAAACGGCACTGTAAGAACAAGGACAATGGTTTTGTGACATAAGCCTGGCGTGTGAAAAGAGGGCGGCAGCCAGAACTGTTCTAAGGATATTTCGTGCAAGCCACAAAAAGGTTATTGGAACATCCTTTGGTGGGCCAGAGGCGAGCCAAGACGCTTCGCCACTGCTTGAACCAGAGGTCACTCCGGCGAAAGGTCACTCTTACGTACAGCGGAAGCCAATCCATAGGAAACCTTCCACCAGAAGCCCAAACCTGAGACCCCAGGACGTCCACTGATCTTTGGTGTGGGAGCGTCACGCGTTTCCAAAACTAGCAAAACCATCGAAACCCCAGAAACCCAGGGCACCCTGGAGGCGAGCAGGGTGTCTCTTGGCGCGGGTCTCCGCTGTATGGCCGGTGCTGGGCCACCTGGGGAAACCAAAAGGCACCGATACTGCTACCCCCTGGACCTCTCTGGGGGTGCGTTCTGACCAGAACTTCGAGGCGAATCCAGCGGTGGCGACGAGGGCCTACCAGGAGGCCCAAAAAGGGGGAAACGGCCGAAGGGTAGAGGTATGGGTACCTTTTAAGGGGCCCTAGGGCACACACATAAATACACACAAATAAAAGGATTCACCATATTTTCCCATATTTTCGGGGTTTCTGTCTTCCCCCCACTGCCCATATTTTCCCATATTATTTTCGGGGGGATCGACGATGAATTGTGCCTGTGTGCTTTTTCCCCTCCTGACTTTCCTCCGCTGACCACCTCGGTCCCCCGGGCGGCTCCCAGGCATCGGCGCGCTCCCCGCGCGGCGGCGCCACGAACCAGACCCGCACCTCGTGGTCGTTGGCCGACACGGCCAGCGCGCCCACGCCGGACTCGGGGGGCTGGTCGCCGTGCGGCGCCAGCGCCAGGCCCCAGGTGCTCACCGGCGCGCCCGTCCACGCGGCCTCGTCGGGGGCCATCGGGTTCACGAGTGCCCCTCGATGCTCGCTCGCGGTCCACGCGTCGGGCCGCACCCTGCAGCCTCCGGCTCGACGAGTGGGCAGGGCGAGCACCGAGGGGCACGCGCGGATGGACAGAACCCTGCGGTCACCGGGGAGGCGACGGCGGCTCGGAGCCGGCCCCCAGGACCCCTCCCAGGGCCCAGACGCGCCAAGCTGCCGAGCTGCGTCCAGCAGTGGAGGCGAGCCTCCCCCCCCCCCAGAGAACAACTACCGTTGTCTCACCTCGCCCTCCTCTGACCCTGAGGTCCGACGTTGCGGACAAAATGCAACATCGCGAGACCTCGCAAGCAGAACCTTAGACCCCATCGTGCTGATGCACCCTTCGAGCCGGAGCGATCCGTGAGGGCGAGCTCGCCCGTTGCGAAAAACCGCGACGCCAAGACCTCAGGGACATGGCCCGAGCTGAAAACGAGTGTTTCCGCTGTCGCTTCTTCTTCTTCTTCTTCGCTCTCCTCCGTCCTGTCTTCGTCCTTCCTCTGCTGCGAAACGGGATCAACATGAAAACGGTCCACGACATCGCCAAAGCATCGTTCAGCTCGAGCCCTGCTCAGGGACCACCGCGGTCTCCACTCGCCCTCGCCCGAGCCTTGTTCGTCACGGTGACCACGGGCTCCAAGCCGGCGCGGTCGCTGGGCACGACCGTCACTCCGCCCGCTGCGTCGACGGTCGCGACCACCGCGCGGCCCGCGATCTGCCCGCACCGCAGGCGGTTCGCCTGCGCGCGCAGCAGCAGCGGCCTCTCGCACCTCTGATGGGGCAACGCTTTACGGGGGGCCCAGGCTAAGGGGGGCAACATCGCAGAGGAGGAGGAGGAGGAGGAGGAGGAGGAGGAGGAGGAACATGAGGAGGAGGACGAGGAGGAACATGAGGAGGAGGAGGATGAGGAGGAGGAGGAGGAGGAGGATGGGCAACGTTAGGGGGGTCACAAGCCAAGGGGGGGCAACATTAGGGGCACGAATAATGACATAAACATAACAACTCGGAGGTCCGCGCGGATTTCTTGGATCCGCGCTGGACCCCCCTGGCGGCGCCTCTGGCGCCGCTCCTGGCTCATTCTTTATTCCCCTGAACATCGAGCTGGCATCGGCGATCTTGCCATCGCTCGGACGTCCATTCCCCGTGCACCGGCTCCGTGCGCTGATCTGTCGCAAGATAATCCAGGATTCTCCTCGATGGGCCTCGCCGAGGGAAACAGGTGCACACGTCCGAGCGACGCCAGGCGATACGTCGCCGATGGATCGGCGATTGGCCCCCGATAGCGACTCCGCACGTTCCTCGGCGGGGTGGGCTATCGGGCCCCTGTCGGCGATTAGTGCTCGATTGTCGGGGAGACGTAAGACTCGGGCTCGGGGGACTCTGGTTGCTCTGACGGGACCATCACGAACATGCCGAGACCCAATCTGAAATCTGACGCGACCTCCCACTGCAGACATCTCACGAACACCGAACCGCCAAAATCCAGGACGCGCTCGTCAACAAACGTCGGCAAACCCGAGCTCCGGCTTGCTTTAGGTCGGGCATGTCCTCCTACAGGCGGGATCTGGAAGAAAAGAGAAAAAGTAAAGAGCCAAATAACCAACACATGCTCAACACAATGGTCAGCAGAGAATCGAAACCTCCTCCACTTGTTTGACCATTCTTGAATTTTCCTCCTGTACAGTCGGGGCGTTGACCTAAGGAACCCTAAATAAGGAACGAGGCCCCTTGTTTTACATAAGTTAAATTTCGATTTCCGATCGAAAACATAAGGAAAACCTGAGGCAAGCTGTGAAACATTAAGGAACGCGGAGCCCCTCCCCAACCAAAAGGGTTCCTTCTTCAGGGCCCCGACTGTAGAGGGACATGCCCGACTCAAGGCTTGCTCGAGTCTCACGTTTCGCCGAGATGGGGGGTCGATGTCTCACCCCCCGCGAGCCAGTCCCCCCCCCAGCGCTGCCCCTGCACCTCCACTCGCCGCCCTCCGCGGCCTCCTGGTCCTCGCGGAGGGCGGTCCCCGCTGCGTTCTCCTTGCGGGCGTGGGGCCAGCACACCCAGAGCCCCTCGCGCTGAGGAACAATCACGGCGGCACTCCTTTGTGCCCTTCGGCCTCTGCAGTGCGGGCGCGGCCGCAAGGACCCCTCGCAGAGGACCGAACCCTAAAAACCCGCGCTCGAGGTGCATCTGAGGGGAAGCCCAGAGCACCCTGAGCGCAGCAGCTTCCTCAAAGGCTGCGGGACGTCATCCCTCAGCGCGCGGAGCGAAGAAACGCAGGGGAGGAGGAGGAAGAGGAGGAGGAGGAGGAGGAGGAGGAGCAGGAGGAGGAGGAGCAGGAGGAGGAGGAGGAGCAGCAGCAGCAGGAGGGGGAGGAGGAGGAGGAGGAGGAGGAGGAGGAGGAGGAGGAGGAGAGGAGGAGGAGCAGGAGGAGGAGGGGAAGGAGGAGGAAGAGGAGGAGAAGGAGAAGGAGGAGAAGCAGGAGGAGGAGGAGAGGATGAGGAGGAGGAGGAGCAGCAGGAGGAGCAGGAGCAGGAGCAGGAGCAGGAGCAGGAGGAGGAGGAGGAGGAGGAGGAGGAGGAGGAGGAGGAGGAGGAGGAGGAGGAGGAGGAGCGCGCCCCCGCTGTAAGGGCCCTCGCCGGGCCCCAGGACCGTCGGACACGGCAGAGGATGAGAAGCCGGTCCTGGGGGTGCGGTAGGGACCTCCAGGGGTCCACGTTCTCATCATCGCTCCGACGTCCACTTCCCGTGCACGTTTCGGTGTCGTGCGTGCTTTGTTTCTTTCTCCGCTAGGATCCAAGATGCTCCTCGATGGTCCTCGCCGAGAAAGGGTGCACACTTTTGAGCGCTGCCGAGCGGTGTTACAAAAAACATGTCGGGGGTCTGCGAAGGCGTGTCCTGAGGTGAACTGGGTCCTGGAGATCCCGCATGCCCTCCCGCCCTTGGGCCCAACTCTTCGCGCCCCAAGCTAGTGTTCTGACAGCGGCCGGGGAACGGTCCCTGGAGTGAGCCCAACAACGGGGAAGCAACCACAAGCAGGGCCCGCCTCCCGCCTGTTTTTCTTCTTCTTCTTCTTCCTCATGCTCTTCTTCTTCTTCTCCTCCTTCTTCGTCCTCCTTTTCTCCTTCTTGCTTCGAGAGAAGAACATCCGCCCCCATAACGAGCACCCCGACAACAACAAACGCTCAATAAACTCACCCCCAGAACGGATCGAACAGGCCAGGGCTGTTCCGTGAGCGCCCGAGCCCGTTTAGGGGGTGATTTGTTCCTTCCCCGATTCTTCTCGCGCGGACAACCCCAAGCTGCCGGCCCTACTTTCCAGAGGTAACCGCGCGATGCATCTCTCTCAGTGCGGCCCCCCACGCGCCAGCTTTGGCCCCAGATGCGGATCGACGTGCCTCTGACGCGGCCCGTGTACACGTCGTTCATTTCTAATCGTGCTCATTTCTAATCGTGCTCGTTTCTAATTGTTCCTGGCCCCCTGGTGGCCAGGAAGAGGCCCAGGATAGAACAGTTAGAAATGGAAGGATCTTGGCCCCCCAAAAATCAAAGACCTTTCGCAGCATTAGGCATGAACACTGTGTACACCTGAAAGGCACGCTCGCTTCGCGGCGATCGCCGGCGCGGCGCTTGGCTCCTGTGGGCGGTGGACACACCGCTCGCAAACCGAAAGCGGCCAATTCGCTAATCGACGGGTCAGGGTAGGAGGTCTGTCCACCCCTGATCCTGGGTCGCCAGCCGCCGCAGCGAGGCCAGCGAGAAACCGAGCAGGCTGCGCTGGTTGGCCACGAAGACGCGGCCGGACACCGGGCAGCAGTCCTGCGGAGCACAGCGGACAACACGACCACACGCCGTGGGTGGTTAGGGCGGATAGGGGCGGCGCTGGAGGCGACGCCATTGAGAGATGACAAAACGGCCCTACCCTGGGTTTTAAGTGCGTGGACTGTAAACCTCCTGGGAACCCCTAAAGCCTAGAGGACGCCAGGACGCCGCACATCACGCAGGGTTTACCCGATCAGCCCACAGGAGTTTCAGCGCACAGCGCCTCGTCAACCAGGGTTGGGGCGTTTGTTAAGCCCTTGACGCCAGGGGCGTCCAGCGCAGATCCAAGAAATCTTCGCCTGGGCCTTCGATCGTGTTCGTTTATGCTGCTGATTCCTTCTCCCGCTCGTGCCTTCTTGGATGCCTCCCCTGTCTCTGCGGAGCCTTCGTGGATGCCTCCGGGCGCCTCCAAAGAAGGTCTCAGCCTTCCAAGAAGTCCCCCTCCGCAGCCTCCAGCCACGCGCCAGGAGGAGGAGGAGGAGGAGGAGGAGGAGGAGGAGGAGGAGGAGGAGGAGGAGGAGGAGCGAGGAGCGAGGAGCGATGGGAGGGAGGCCCGTCTTCTCAGAAGGCCGCCCCCCTCGCACCACCATCTTGTCGAGACATCCGACCAGATGGCATCTTTCCCTGTGCGGCCCAAGAGGCCCCAGCCACTTCCCTTGTTGGAGCAGTTTCTCGCCCCGGAGCCGTTTTTGGTTGTCCCCGGGCCCGACAACGGGCCTGGAAGCTGAACTGGAGGAAAAAGGTAAGATCATCGAAGGTCTGGGTTTCATTCGGCTCTCGGGCCATAACTTGGGCCTCAAGCAATCGTTTAAGACGATTCCGGCATCCCAAGGGCGCCCTCGACGAGGCGCAGCTGCTGGAAAGCGCGCCGGGCCCCTATAAAACTTTCGAGGGCCGCGGGACTGATCCGAAAACCTTCGAACTCCTCCTTCCTCCCCTCCCCAGCGCTGTAGGCCCATGAAGTCCATCACGTTCATGGGCGGGCCGTTGACGCCGAAGGCGCCGAGGCTCTCCCGCCCCAGCGGCGCAGAGAGGAGCTGCCAGGCGAGGGTGGCGCCCACCTTTAGGTCGGGCGTGTCCTCCCACAGGCGGATTTTGGGCAAAGGCTTTAAACAATTGTCAAACAATGTTCAACAGTGGTCAACAATAGTGAAAAAAACGTCCCCAGGCTTCTTCCCATTATCTTTTCAACTATTTTTGAACATTCCTCCTGTAGGGGGACATGCCCGACTTCAGCCCACCTCGAGGCGCGGCGGGTCATCCTCGCCGAACTCGTTCAGGTCCCCCTGCTCCTCCTGGAGAAGGAGGAGGAGGAGGGGGAGGGGGAGGAGCAGAAGGGGGAGGAGGAGGAGGAGGAGGAGCAGAGGGAGGAGGAGGAGGAGGAGGGGGGGGAGGAGGGGGAGGGGGGGAGGAGGAGGAGGAGAGGAGGAGGAGGAGGAGGAGGAGGAGGAGGAGGAGGAGGAGGAGGAGGAGGAGGAGGGGGAGGAGGGGGAGGGGGAGGAGGAGGAGGAGGAGGAGGAGGAGGAGGAGGAGGAGGAGGAGGAGGAGGAGGAGGAGGAGGAGGAGGAGGAGGAGAGGGAGGAGGAGGAGGAGGAGGAGGAGGTGGAGGAGGAGCAGGGTGAGGATGAGGAGGAGGAGGAGGAGGAGGAAATCATGCATAAGTGACCAAGAGAGGAGCCCAAACCCTTTCGGAGGGGACCTGATGCAGGAGGGCCACAATCGTTGGGGGCAATGGGGGTGATATGTATGGAACCGCACCGCCCAGAACTACTAGTCTGCATACACATACGGATACTCAAGTGAGGCCACGCTTTTGCTTTGTTAGTAGGGTTAGGGTTCTTTGCTCCTCGATGAACACATGCATAGATATGGACAGAAACGTTTATGTACGAATGTCTGTACTTGTATGTATGTATGTGTATACACATCTATCAGGCTATGAGGGTGAGGAGGCCGAGCGGTCATTAACTGTCCCTGGGCGCGTGTCTGAAAAAAGGTTCCGCCGTGCGGACTGTTGTTGCGTTGTTGCTGATGTTGTCGTCGTCCTCGCCCGCGACCCGCCCACGACCCATCCGCGACCCACCCGCGACCCACGCATATTGCTTTGACGAAAAGTCGGCGCCTGCGGCGGGCTTGCTGTGCAATTCGGAGAAACAAATGGGCGCCTGCGGCGGGCTTCTTTAGGGCTTCGCAGGCTGCCGACGACCCCCGCCCCCTCACACTTAACCGCAATTGGGGGGTGCTACGTATCGCAATGGAACGGAGAGACCCCCCTCCAGGGAAGTCGGTTTCGGTTTCGTGTTCGCGTCGCGCGTGCGGGCGAGGCGAAGCTGCGTGAGCGCGCGAGAGGAATAACCCCGCCGTCGCTAGGGCGATTCGGATGCAATAGACCGTTCCTCCGCCCCCGGTGGGCGCGCGGTTCCCTGGGTGTCCCGCCGTGGTGTCCTGTGGTGTCCCGTTGGTGTCCCGTCGATGTTCCGTCGGCGTTGGGCGGGCGGTGACCAGGTGTGTCCCGCCTTGGTATCTATAGTGAGGTCGATCGTGAGATCGATACTGCGATCGCTAGAACAGGATGGAGAATGAGATCCCGGCATCTATAGATGTACCTGTACGACCAGGCCACCCTTCGGGTGATAAGGAGGTTGTGGGGGGGGAAGAAGGGGGGGGGACCAACATCTGACTCAATCCATCTCACTATCGATCTCACTCAACGGGACACCACGGGACACTTGTCGATCTCGCTATCGATCTCACTATCGATCTCACTCAACGGGACACCAAGCGACACCACGGGCCACCACGGGCCACCACGGGACATCGCGGGACATCCCTCGATCTCACTATCGGTCTCACTATCGATCTCACTCTCGATCTCACTTAACGGGACACCATAGGACACCACGGGACACCAAGGGACACCTCGGGACACTACATCGATCTCACTATCGATATCACTATCAATCTCACTTAACGGGACACCACGGGACACCACGGGACACCGGCGGGACACCAGCGGGACACCCGCGGGACACCGGCGGTACCGCGGGACACCAGCCGCCAGAGGAGTTACATTTGGTCTGGCCGCGGCCCAGCCACAGGAGGATTTCGGGACACCGGCGGGATACCGGCGGGACTCCGCGGGGCACCGGCCGCCAGAGGAGTTCATTTGGCCCGGCCGCGGCCTAGCCACAGGAGGATTTCCTTTTGCCCGCCCACGCAGTTTCGCCTCGCCCGCACGCACGCACGGCATGAACGACACGAACCCGAAACCGAAATCGATTTCCCGGTAGGGGGGGTCTCCGTTTCACGTCGGACTCACCCCCCAACCTCCGATACACATATATATATATATATATATATAGTTATATGTATATATGTATAAATATAAATATTGGTCGTGACTTTTGTTACGACATTGGTTGTGAGATCGGTGGTGCGGTTGATATTGGAATCAATCGTGAGATCGATAGCGTGAGATATAATGTGAGATCGATGGTGAAATCTAGTGAGATCGATCGAGTGTGAGCGATTTTGTGAGGTCGATCGTGGGATCGATCGAGTGAGATCGAAAGCGGGGACTCCATCGCAGCGCAACATCATCATCACGAGTTGTCGCTAACTCGAGGGCAAAACCACCAACATCTATCACACCCATCTCATTTGTCAGCAGTTGGTTCTTTCCCCCCGACCCCCTCATCACCCGAAGGGTGGTCGTCTTGGTATAGGTCTAGATATGTATATTGTTATAAGGTACCAGTATAGGTACAGGTACAGGTATATGTATAGGCATTGGTATAGGTATTATGTATGTATGCATGCATGTATGCATGTCTGTATGTATATTTGTGTGTCTGTATGTATGTATGCATGCATGCGTGTCTGTCTGTCTGTCTGCCTGCCTGTCTGTCTGTGTATACATATATATATATATGTATGTACACATATACACATATAACGTATATATAGATATATAGAATATCAGCCACCGCACCGCTGGGCACGGAGTGGGCGTGTCCTCAAGTCCATCCACTACCCCTTTGAGCCTACATCGGTACTCCTGAAAGTTCTTGTAAGGTTCGGAATCTCTCGGGCCAATTCTTCCGGGGCAGCCCGCGCCGGGCTGCGGTTCCCCCGAGTGTTGTCGCGTGACTGCTTCAGACCCAAGAGGGCCCCAAGACGGGCCAAGAGGGCCCCAAGAAGCCCCCAAGACGGTCCAAGGAGGCCCCGAGTCGCCGAACGATCGCTCCAAGACGCTTGAGATGGCCCCCAAGCGGGCCAAGAAATCTCGGTGACTCCAAAAGAGGCCTCCAACAGGCCTCCCATGAGGGCTCCACGATACCAAATTCATTGATTCTTCTCAGGAGTCTCCAGGAGGCGCCCAAAACGGCCCAAGAAGGCCCCAAGACGGTCCCCAAAGGGGCCAAACAGAGAGAACGCGAACGGAAAATCCGAGCCTTCCGCCCCAAGATGCCCCCAGGAGGCCCCAAGAGGCGCCCAGGAGGGCCCAAGAGTCCCCAAAGAGGCACCCAAGAGGGCCCAAAAGGCTCCTAAGAGGCCCAACGAAGCTCCGAAACGGCCCCGAAGAGACGCCCAAACTGCCTCCAAAACGCCTCCGAGAAGCCTCCCACGAGATCCCAACGAACATCAAATAGGCTTCATCCCCACAACCCAGGCACGGTGGAGGGTTGGGCCACATGGCATTCTATCTATACGTCTGTATGCACATGTATATGTAGTTGTGTATGCATCTGTGTACGTACACGCTTATGTAGAGGTATCTGCATACGGATATGTAGTTGTAACTGTACATGTATATGCCAGTTTGTATGTATTTGTACATATATATATATATAGCCCTCTGAACCACCAAGAACCCCCTTTCTCATGATTATATATGAATTCATACATGCTTCCTACGATTTTCGGACTCAATTTTGAGGCTCTTTTTTGGAAGACTTTTTGGGCTCAAGTTCGGAGCCACCTTCTACTCAACTCCCTGCGTCTCCACCACACCACCCAGTACTCAACAGCCTCCTTCTCCAACACAACACCCCATACTCAACAGGCTCCCTCCCCAAGCTGAACTTCACAATAACCTTCTACTCAACTCCCTCCGTCTCCAACACAATACCCAGTACTCACCAGCCTCCTTCTCCAACACAACACCCCATACTCAACAGGCTCCCTCCCCAAGCTGAACTTCAAAATAACCTTCTACTCAACTCACTCCGTCTCCAACACAACACCCAATACTCAACAGCCTCCTTCTCCAACACAACACCCGATACTCAACAGGCTCCCTCCCCAAGCTGAACGTCAAAATAACCTTCTACTCAACTCCCTCCGTCTCAACCACACCATCCAGTACTCAACACCCTCCTTCTCCAACACAACACCCGATACTCAACAGGCTCCCTCCCCAAGCTGAACTTGAACATAACCTTCTACTTAACTCCCTCCGTCTCCAACACAACACCCAATACTCAACAGTCTCCTTCTCCAACACAACACCCGATACTCAACAGGCTCCCTCCCCAAGCTGAACTTTTTCTCATGCTTATATATGACTTTATATATGATTCCTACGATTTTCGGGCTCAATTGTGAGGCTCTTTGTTGGAAGACTTTTTGGGCTCAAGTTCGGAGCCACCTTCTACTCAACTCCCTGCGTCTCCACCACACCACCCAGTACTCAACAGCCTCCTTCTCCAACACAACACCCCATACTCAACAGGCTACCTCCCCAAGCTGAACTTCACAATAACCTTCTACTCAACTCCCTCCGTCTCCACCACAACACCCAATACTCAACAGCCTCCTTCTCCAACACAACACCCGATACTCAACAGGCTCCCTCCCCAAGCTGAACTTGAAAATACCCTTCTACTCAACTCCCTCCGTCTCCAACACAACACCCAGTACTCAACAGCCTCTTTCTCCAACACAACACCCGATACTCAACAGGCTCCCTCCGTCTTCACCACACACACAAGTACTCCAGATCCAACCACCACAACACGACGCGACACCCGAAACTCCAACCGCACCCGCCCCCCTTTTTTTCTTGGCATCTTCCAAGAGAAAAAGGGGGGCTCATGGTGGGTGCTGAGATAGATATGTATGCAGATGTTTGTGTGCACCTAGTGACATGTGTATATGTATAGGTATAGGTATATGTTTATGTGTGTGTGTACATGTGCGTGCAAAGGCGTACGGGTATGTCGAGGCATATGTACATCTCTCTCTATAAATATATATACATGTGTGCATCTAGATACATATAGCAACGTTGTTTCCAGTCTATCCTTGTGTAATATATACACATATATATAAATATGTATATATATGTATACACACATATGTATATATACACACACCTATACACACATGCGTACATACTCATCACGCGGCTTGCGTGCTGTTCGCGGAGCAGGCGCCCCTTCCGCGCTGTATTGCGTGGCCCGCATCGCTGTTGCGTGCGCCTGTCGCGGCCCTGGGGCGCGCCAGGCTGGCCGCCTGAGGCGGCCGCAGACCTTGGCAGGTCGCCTCGCTGGCGCCTGCAGCCTTCTTGCCTGCCCGAGAGAGAGAGAGAGAGAGAGAGCGAGACAGAGAGAGAGAGAGAGAGAGAAAGAGAGAGAGAGAGAGATCGGTAGAGAGAGGGAGGAAGAGAGAGAGAGAGAGAGAAACAAATCTATACAGATGTATGTATTGTGTCGTTGTCGTACGCTTGGTGGTGAGATCGACCGGAAGCGTGCCCCCCCCGCAACAAGGAATTTGGTTCCCGATTTCAGAGTGCGATGGCGAGAGGGGTGATCCCGCCGTCGGTAGGGCGGAATGGGAACATAGCACCCTCCTCGTCCGGCTGGCGGTCGGTTCTGCACGGTTGTCCCGCGACTGTCCCGTGATTGTCCTGCCGTTGCCCTGTGGTTGCCCCGCGGTTGCTTCGATGGCTGTCCTGACGGGCGTCTCGATGATTGTCCCGATGGTTGTCCTGATCGTCCCGGTGGTAGTTTGATTGCTTGACTGACTGATTGGCTGCTTGATGATGGAACGTTTGCAATCGACGTATGCGACTAAACAGACACAACTTTGCTATAAGAGATGCAGGGGCGCATTCGCCGTCTGTCTTCAACCTCGCCAAATGGCCCCCAGACCCCCAAGGCGGGGCCTCTGGGTGACAAGACACTACCGTGGGGCACCAGCTGACAGGTTGGCTTCAAATTGATGTGCCCCCTGCGTGGTTGTGCAGCCTTTCAAACAAAGCAAAACAAAACAGCATACACATTAACTTTCGGAGGTCCATGAAGACTCTTTGGATCGGCGCTTTGCCCCCCTTCACTGGCGTGCGGAGCGCGCCAGGGGCGCCCTGTGCCGATCCGAGAAGTCCACGCGGAACTCCGACCGTTCATTTCTGTGCATTTGTTTCTTGTTCGTCGACGCCTCTTTGAGACAACAACAGCCCCAAATCAGTCCCGGGACCCCTCCTGGGATGGAACAATGCGCAACATTTCCCCGACGGATCGATCCGTGTGATGGCCTCAGGGCCCGAAGAAACCAGGCGAAAACGCACGCCGTGAAGAACATGCACCGCCCGTTGTCTGAAACTCGCCCTCCTCTGATTCTGTGCCTACAGTCGGAGAGCGACCACAAGAAACCTTCCACAAGAAACCCAACCCTGAGACCCCAGGACGTCCATCGATTTCTGGTGTGGGGAGGTCACGCCTTCCATCGCAAACCCGTCGAAACCCAAGGAACCCGGGGCACCCTGGAGGCAAGCAGGGTGTTTCTTGGCATGGGTCTCCACTGTACTGTCAGGTCGGGCATGCCCCCCTACAGGCGCATTTTGGGCGACAAATTCGAAACAGTCAACCAAATAATACACCAACATGGTCAAACAATCGTAAAAAAACATCGTTCCCAGACTATTGTTGGACTGTTTGGGAATCTTCCTCCTGTAGAGGGGCACGCCCGACTTCCGCCTACTGCACGACTGAGCCGCCGAGTCAGAACTGCACCGATGCCGCCGCTCCCCGTGCCCGCACCCGGGCGCGCTGCGACCAGGGATCCCGGAGCGAACCTGGCCAGGGCGACGCGGGCCTCCCAGGATACCCCCAGGAGGCGAACGCGAGGGAAGCGACATGTCTTGAAGTAGTTCTGATGCACGTGCAGCCTGTTCTGGTCTCCACATTCTGCCCCCCGGGCCGAGGCATTCGATCACGTTGTATCGCTCGATCCACATATTTCCTCGAGCAACGGCGCGCAGCTCGCGCCATCTTCCGAAGACTCACTTCCGCACGAACGAAATGGGTACGGAAAGAATAGGTACGATGCCCAACAGCAGTCCCTGTCCATTTTGAACAGGACTCGCTGTCCGCGCCGCCGCGGCCTGTGTCCGTTTGAGACAGGAGGCCGCCTGCCCAACAGCGGCCGCTGCTGGTTTGGGACAACATTTTTTTGTTGGGCATTGTACCCATTCTTTCCGTACCCATTTCGGGCGTCCAAATCCGAGGAAGGAAGAGGTCGAGAACCCTGGGGGTCGACGCCGCGAACAGAAATCACGGCGCCGGGGGTCTGGGGACGCCGCTGCGCTTCCCCTCTGCAGCGCGGGCAGCCAGCGTGCAGCGCGGGGAGCTCAGGGATCCAAATCACTTCCATCAGGAAGAAAACTGAGGAGTGCAGGCCATCTTTCGGTGAGCCCTGCGAGGACCAGTCGACCACCTTCCGAGCGGGCGCTGCGCCAGCGCAGCCCCGAACCCCCGAACTTGGCAGGAGAGCGCGGACACGACCACGCTGAGCTCCCCGCGCTGCACGCTGGCTGCCCGCGCTGCACGGGGGAAGCGCAGCGGCGTCCCCAGACCCCCGGCGCCGTGATTTCTGTTCGCGGCGTCGACCCCCAGGGCTCTCGACCTCTTCCTTCCTCGGATTTGGACGCCCGAAATGGGTACGGAAAGGATGGGTACAATGCCCAACAAAAAAATGTTGTCCCAAACCAGCAGCGGCCGCTGTTGGGCAGGCGGCCTCCTGTCTCAAACGGACACAGGCCGGCGCGGACAGCGAGTCCTGTTCAAAATGGACAGGGACTGCTGTTGGGCATCGTACCTATTCTTTCCGTACCCATGTCGTTCGTGCTGATTCATCCTGAGTCTCTTTTGGAGGTCCCGAGGCCCGGCAAGGGCCCCCGAGAGGCCGAACATAGGGAAATTCACAACGCGAGTGGGTCTGAGTCCGTACCTTTTCCTCCTCCGACGCGCGGGCTTTCACTCCTCCGTCCTCGAGCGCCTGGAAGTTCTCGGCCAGCAGCTGCCAACCGTCCTCCTCGAGGCTCTCCTGCAGGCCAACGGGAAGAGGGGGAACTGGGGCAGGAGAGTGGGAGGAAGGGAGGGAGGGAGGGAGGGAGGGAGGGAGGGAGGGAGGGAGGGAGAGGAGGAGGAGGAGGAGGAGGAGGAGGAGGAGGAGGAGGAGGAGGAGGAGGAAGAGGTGGTGGAGGACGAGGAGGAAGAACCCGCAGGTTAGCGCCCCGCTCAGGTATTGGGGAATGACAAGGGGAAGCATCGCCGAAACACCGACCTTGGATCGAAGATACCGTCGCCGATGCAGTCAAACCGTATGGTAATAGTAATGGTGCGCGATGGGGATGCGTGGGCCTTGGAAGCCCACCTCGAAGCTTTTCGAGCGGGGCGCGGCCAAAGAAAGTGGCCAAGGATGGACCGAGGAGGCAAGGATGCAAGGGTTCCCTTGGGAAGGCTGGCCATCCTTGCTATGCGGGTTGACTGTAGATCGGCGATCGGCTCTCGATTACTTAAGGAACACGTCCCAGAAATAATTTCGAGCACCCCTAGAAGTATCGAAACAGTGTCGAACGAGTATCGACTCCCAGGGCCCGACGCGCGAAAACCCTCAAGTTTCGGTACCTTCTTGGTGCTCGAAATTCTCTCTGGTGGAATGCTAAAAAGTAGGTTGGAACATGCCTTGACCTCCTGACCACCTCCTGGAGTGGGGGAGGGGGGGGGGGGCAATCAGATGGCACACGCTTGCGGTGCCACCCTCCCCTCAGGAGGGGACGGCGGCGGAGGCGGGCGAGGAGGAGGAGGAGGAGGAGGAGGCAGGAGGGGAGGAGGAGGAGGAGGGAGGAGGAGGAGGCGGAGGAGGAGGAGGAAGGGAGGAGGAGGAGGAGGAGGAGGAGCAAAGGGAGGAGGAGGAGGGGGAGGAGGAGCCTACCACCTCCTGACCATGCCCGTGACGAGAGGGCGGCTTTCACCTCATAGCTCGAGCCTCTGGCGGCCGTCCTGAACGATCCCAGAACGCCCCCGAACGCTCCTGGCGAGGCGCAGCGGCTAGAGAGCATCCCGGGGGCTGCAACCTCCAAAAACCGACGAACACGCTCCTCCTTCTCCTCCTCCTCTTCCTCCTCCTCCTCCTCCTCCTCCTCTCTCCCTCCTCTTCCTCCTCCTCCTCCTCGTCCTCCTCCTCGTCCTCCTCCTCCTCCTCCTCCTCCTCCTCCTAGCGCGCCCGAACACCCGATCTGGACATCACCGGAGAACTGAGGGTCGATGACTCCCCCGAGGAGGCCTGCGCCGCTCGGCAGCCCAACTGCTGCGCGACGGCGGTGTCAAAACCCGATAGGGAGGCCCAGGACGGGGATCCGAGGGCCTCCGAACCCAGGCAGGGGGCCCAAATCCGCGCCGACTGCGAACGTCGTCTGGCTTTCGGGTCACGGCTCGGGCCTCCGGCGGCCGTTCTCGGGAGGGTCCAGCGCCAGCTCCAGGGGAGCCCCGCGGGGAGGCGCAACTGCTGGAGAGCACCCCGAGGCTGGACAGCTCGGAGCGACAGAGACGAGGACGGACGAAAACGCCCCACAGCTGCCAGAGAGCCGCCGAAGTCAGACGACGACGCGCCAAGACCTCCAACCTTGAATCTCGACACGTCCCCCCCTGAGCATGTCCCCCCCGAGCGTTGCCTTAGGTCGGGCATGTCCCCCTACTGACGGGATTTGGACGAAGAATAAAACATACTTCAAACAATTTCCAAACATGCTCAAACATATAAAAAACAACATCGTCCCCAGACTATTTTTTGATTTCTTTTGAATATTCCTCCTCGAGGGACAGGCCCGACTTAAGCGTTGCCCCCCGAGCGTTGCCCCAGAGCTCCGTCGGCGACGGCCCCGCCGCGGGGCTGTCGCCGCCCTCGCCGCTGCCGCTGGCGCTGCCCGAGCTCTCCTCGGCGGACTCGGCGCCCGCGCCGCTCATGGGCGGGGGCGCGCGGGAGCTGCGGGCGGAGAGGGAGGCTCCTGGAAACGCCTCTCGAAAAAGAAACTAACACATAAACATACACTTCTGGCGCTCCGCGCGGGTTCTCGGATCCGCGCTGAGAGCCCCCTGGCGGCGCCTCCGGCGCCGCCCCTGGCGCGCTCCACGCGCCGGGGAGGGGGGCACAGCGCGGATCCCAGAAACCCGCGTGGAGCGCCAAACTTTTATGTTCATATGTGTTTTTTCCAGCCTCAACTGATGTGCCAGTAGCCTAGAAGAGAAACCTGCCGCTACCCTCACCACCCAGATTGCCACCACCACGACTATGACGGCAACCGCACCTGCTGCTACCACCGGCTGATGCCGGACCACTGCAATCACTACCATCTGTGGATGTGGCGGTGGTGTGGTGGAGCGGCGGTCCTGCCAAGGACGCGCGCACAGTTGGCAGACCTGTCCGCTGACCAAGTGGAGGAGAGGAGGAGGAGGAGGAGGAGGAGGAGGAGGAGGAGGAGGAGAAGGAGGAGGAGGAGGGGGGGAGGAGGAGGAGGAGGAGGAGGAGGAGGAGGAGGAGGAGGAGGAGGAGGAGGAGGAGGAGGAGGAGGAGGAGGAGGAGGAGGAGGAGGAGAAGGAGGAGGAGGAGGAGGAGGGGAGGAGGAGGAGGAGGAGGAGGAGGAGGAGGAGGAGGAGGAGCAGTGGGCGACGAGCGAAACGGGCCTCACGCGAGTGGGCGTGGCGACCTCACGAGGTGACCCACGCAGGCCGCCTGCGCGCCACGGTCCGCGACACACAGGAGCGGCCCGACAAGCAAGACCGACCTTCGGAGCTCGGCTTGTCGGCTGCTGCTTGCGACGCGACGGTGGCGGTCTGCCACGAGGCCTGGAAAACGCGCGCGACAAGCTACTCTAGCGACAGGCCGCGAGCAAAGGAGAGAGATCTGCCTAGACGGAAACTTTCGGAAGTCCGCGCGGGCTTCTCGGATCGGCGCTGGACCCCCTTCCCTGGCGCGCGCCAGGGGGCGGCGCCGAAGGCGCCACCAAGGGTGTCCCGCGCCGATCCAAGAAACCTTCGCGGGCCTCCGACAATTTTTACGTTTTTGCAGCAGCCTCCTGCGAGTACAGTCGGGGCCCTGAAGAAGGAACCCTTCTCGTTGGGGAGGGGCTCCGCGCTCCTGAAGTGTTTCAACATTTGCCTCGGGTTTTCCTCATGTTGTCGACAGGAGATCGAAGGTTAGCTTATGGAAGAAGAAGGGGCCTCGTTCCTTATGTAGGGTTCCTTAGGTCAACGCCCCGACTGTAGCCGGGAAACCATGTGAGCGACGATCACAGACGGGTCTTTCGCGAGGTGGCATGGTGACCTCACGCCGCGGCCTCCGCGGGCCGCCACGGCGCGGCACGCCACGCCGAAGGACGAGGGCGCTCACGCGGGACCTTGCGCGGGCAGCTGAGGGGCCAATGTCGGCGAAGACGGCCCCTGTCTTTCTAGAGGAAAGAGAACTATGCACATTCACCCGTTCTGACCATGCCCATCCTGAGCCCAGGATCGGTGCATGCGCCCTCCTGCCTTGGCCAGGAGAGCACATGCACCGATCCTGGGCCCAAAATGGGCCTGGCCAGAACCGATGCATGTGCATGGTTCTCTTCGCCCGACTTTTGCGTCGCTCCGTGGACGCGAGGGTTCTCGCGTTAAGTCGGGCGTGTCCCCCTATAGGGGGATTTCCGACGAAAACTAAAACATACCTCAAAAACAACCAAAGCAGACTCCAAAAATAATCTGGGGACAGTTTTTGGTATATGTGTTGACCTTTTTGGTGCATGTGTGAAGGTATTTCTTATTTTTCGTCCAAAATCCCTCTGTGGGGGGACACGCCCGACTTACTTCCAGCACGTGCCCCCGCGCGCGGCAGCCCGCCGAGGGGAACAGGCAGCATAAGGGGGCCAGCCGCCGCACCGCGCGGTGGCCCCGCAGGCCGGGGGCGTCCAGGACGGGGGGCAGCCGGGACGGGGGGGGGGCGCTCCTGGCCATGAGGCCTGTGCGCGACGCGGGGGCGGGCCTGTTTGGCTCCGCGCTCTGTCCGCCACGTTTAGCCAGGCACCCTGCGGCGGGGGAAGAGCCTGCAGGCGGAACAAGGACCGCCACGGCACGCACCGGGGCCAATCAGGGGCCAGGGGGGCCCACAGGAATGAGGAGAGGGGCCACGACAGCCTTGGAGACGTCGCGGCCCCAGACCCCCCCTACCCTTCAGTCGGGCCTGTCCCTCTACGGAAGGAGTATGCAAAAATAGTAAACAAATAATGTAGGGACGATTTCTTAGCATTTTCGACAATATGTTTTGACTATTTTTTTCTTGTCGAAAATCCCCCTGAAGGGGGACACGCCCGACTTAAAAATAAGGAGAGGCCACGACAGCTGCGGAGATATCGTGGCCCCAGACCCCCCCTGCCCAGACCCCCGACGCTGTGCTTCTTCGCGACGTCGACGCCCAAAGGTCCGCACCTCTTCCCCGTGACTGGTCTTTCACCCCGAGTCGTTCTCTGACGGCCCCGAGGCTGGGCAAGGGCCCCCAGAGGTCGACCACAGCGAAAAACCTGCCGTCGTGATTTTTTCACAGCGCGAGGGCATCTGGGCAGTCCCCTTCAGTCGGACGTGTCCCCCTACAGGGGGATTTTCGACGAGAAAAAAAAAGAGTCAGCAAATACCCCCAAATGGTCAACACAAATACTCAGAAACCGTCCCCAGACTATTTTTGTTGACTATTCTTGCATATCCCCCCTGTAGCGGGACAGGCCCGACTTCACCTTAGAACTTGCGACCGGAGCCCCGGACTCCAACCTCCTGCGCCGTTCGAGCCGTTCGAGCAGAGGCTCCATCTGCGCGGGTCCCGAGGTCGTCCCTCGTGACCGCCCCCTCTGAAGGGGCCCTGGGACACACGAATAAATACACACAGATAAACAGATTCCCCACATATTCCCATATTTTCTGGGTTTCTGTCTTCCCCCCCCTTCCCATATTTTCGAATATTTTCTGGGGAATCGCCGATTCATTGTGTCTGTGTGCTTCTTTCCCTCCTGACCCTCTCGTGACCCCCTTTTTGTGGCCGCCCCCGATCCGCAGCCCCCTCGCGCCGCCCGGGGCGCCGCTCGCGGCCTCGGAGGGCGGCCCCGCCGCGCGGGCCTCCGGGACGGCGCGGCGGCCCCCCGAGGCAGCCCCGGCGCCCTCCGAGGAGGCGGGGGCCCCCCGTGGCCTGCGGCCTCCTCGACTCTCGACTCTGGAGGAGGAGGAGGAGGAGGAGGAGGAGGAGGAGGAGGAGGAGGAGGAGGAGGAGGAGGGAGGAGGAGGAGGAGGAGGATGGGGGAGGAGGTGGAGGAGGAGGAGGAGGAGGAGGAGGAGGAGGAGGAGGAGGAGGGAGGGGAGGAGGAGGAGGAGAGGAGGAGGAGGAGGAGGAGGGAGGAGGGGAGGAGGAGGAGGGGAGGAGGGGGAGGAGGTGGAGGAGGAGGAGGAGGAGGAGGAGGTGGAGGAGGAGGAGGAGGAGGAGGAGGAGGAGGAGGAGGAGGAGGAGGAGGAGGAGGAGGGAGGAGGAGGAGGAGGAGGAGAAGGAAGGAGGAGGAGGAGGAGGAGGAGGAGGAGGAGGAAGAGGAAGATGAGGAGGAGGAGGAGGAGGAGGAGGAGGAGGAGGAGGAGGAGGAGGAGGAGGAGGTCGCCGGCTGTGCGCGCGGCAGCGCGCGCGCGAGAGCGTCCGCGCGGCACGCCTCGCGCCCCCCGCCTTCCTCTCCCAGGAATAACCCGCCGTCGTGGCTTCTGCCCGACGCGGTCCGCCAGAGGCCTGGACCCCCCTCCCCCACGGCCGGCCTCTCACCCGCGGCCGCCGGAGGACGGTCCGCGGGGGCCGAACACGGACCAACACCTTCCCCCGAGGTCCCACGGCGCGAAGCAAGTGAGACACCGTCAGTATTAGCTCGGGCGTGTCCCCCTACAGCGGCATCTGGAGCAAAACATGGAAAACAGACCCCAGAAAAAATTCAAACTTGCAGAGACAATATGCAACAAATCGTCCCCAGACTATTTTCTTGACAACTTTTGCACGTCCCTCCTGTAGAGGCACACGCCCGACGTAACGTTAGAACTTACGACCGGAGCCCCAGACGCCATCCTCCTGCGCCGTTCGAGCCGGCTCCATCTGCGCGGGCCCCGAGGTCCGAAACCTGCCGGGGGCGCCCGGCTCGGAAAAGCTGGGGCGCCAGGGCCTCAGGGTCTGTCGTGTGCTTCGTTCGCAGCGCCAGGGGGCGGGGCCCTTCGGCTGGCGTTAGGCCGGGTGTGTCCTCCTGCAGGCGGCTTTGGGAAGACACCTTCCAAGCATGGTCAAAACATATCTGAACATGGCCTACAACAGTCGAAACGTCGACCCCAAACTGTTCCCACCAGCCCTCTGGGCGTCGGTGGTTTAGGGAGTTTCCTCTTCCACCCCTCCTTCTTCCCCTTCGGGGCGGGGTTTACCCCTCCCCCTACCCCCTTCCCGTGGACCTGGACGGGAGGGGCCGCGAGGTGTCAGGGCGTCCGAAACGGCCTCGGCGAGAAAGCCAACATCATTGGTTTTACTATGGTTTTGGCCCCATTTTGGCCTCCTGGGGGTGCGAGGCTAATTAATGCTCCGCACTTCTTTGATAGATCTCCTCCAAGATGGCCCCAAGAAGCGCCCAGGAGGCCCAAAGAGGTTCCAAGATGGCCCCAAGATCGCCCCAAGAGGCCCCCAGGAGGCCCCCGAGAGACCCCCAATAGGCCCCAAGAGACCACCCAGAGGCAAACAAGATGCTCCAAGAGGCCTCGGCGAGAATGCCAAAACGGCCTCGGTGAGGAAGCCAACATCATTGGTTTTACTAGAGTTTGGGCCCCATTTTGGCCTCCTGGGGGGCAAGCCTGATTAATGCTCCCCTCTTTTTTGATCGATCTCCTTCAAGATGGCCCCAAGAAGCGCCAAGGAGGTCTCAAGAGGTCCCAAGATGGCCCCAAGATGGTCCCAAGAGGACCCCAAGAGGCCCCCAGGAGGCCCCC